TATTTATGGTCCTTCGGAGCGATGCGAGGAGGGCGAATGCGCTCTCTTACCGTGCACGCATTTCCTATGGACCTGGTCCTCAATATATTTCCTTGTTTTCTTCGTTCTGTCGGTTTAATATTGATCCAGCTTTTTATGCGTTGCACATTGGGATGGGTCCCTAAATTATTTATTCTGTTTTATTCACAACATCTTGACAATAAAATACAATGTCAGACAATATCGGAGGACGCTTTTTTGTGAATCCTGTGCAGGCAATGGAGTTAACTGAAACTCAAGCTTTCACATGTTTACTGCCTTAAGGATAAGAACGTGACGATCATAATAATAGTGAAAGTATACCCATTGTCCATTTTAAGACTAAAAGAGCCACATTGGCATCAACTTATTTTTCGCAAATGTTTTTTGAAAAAAAAGGCATTGTAAATTCATGTATGGTTTTCCATTTTTAAGGGGGTCAAATTCGTTGGGCCCCTTAAAATTTCGACTTCGGGACGATCTACCATGAGTGAACGTCATATATGCCAGTTCCGCATTCGCCTCCCTCCATCTGTTCTTCCTCTGATTGCACGACGGATTGTAATGCCTCCCTCTTCATCCTTGAAGGCTATGAAGGGGAACCATTTTTAGTGAAGTTCGCGGTTTAATTTATTGATACACTCTCTTCCCTTTTTACTCCGATCACAGGTGCGTCTTGCCAGTGCTCACCGCCAATGTACACATTGCGATACCGGCTAGGCCTCTAAATAATTTATTGTACTTCGCTCGATATATTTTGCCAGTGAAGAAGAAGAGGTTTTTGATAAACCGTAGCAAGATGCCAGAATCAGCAGGGACGTTAGTTGATGGTTCCATCGCCCATGAAAAGGAAATTCATCGCCCAAATCACAAGAACGATACGAGAATAATAAGTTGAAGGATGATTCTTTTTCCTTGATCTCACACATCTAAACCCCAAGCCAGAAAGGATGAACACGATGAAAAGGAAGCAGTTCTTATTCTTCGATTCGCATTGCCTGGAAACGTTTCAAATCGCGTAATTTTCATTGGGAGTGGGTCCCATGAAAATGTGCCACTCTTAACGCGAGCCATTGGATGGGAGAGAAGAAAACGGGTTTCCTCTTTGTATCATTTCTTCCAGTATGCATGACACAGGACTTTTTGACTTCCTATGGGTATAAAATATGTTTAGCATTTACAAAATTCTATTTACCAGTCTCCTAAGGGGACAACGAATGCTCTCTTGAAAAACTTAACTAAAGCGTGGTATTTAAGCATTAGCCTGTCGTGGCAGCAGCTCCATCGCTGCAGACGCCGAAAACGAATTTCCAGTCCAAATAATTTTCACCATCATAGTTGTCGTGGAATAGAGAAAATTCGGCGCCTGTCGTTCGAATCGATTTGTTTGAAACCATCATGACATCTTCAAAATGTCAGTCCTTTGTCTATAGCGCATGAAGGCAATAAAAATTTGCCGCATTGGAAATGTCTGTGGATTCGTCCAACCCCACTAAAAACCACTTTGTTTGTGTCTTTCGAAAAGTTAATATTCGATATCACACTATCACCATTCGTGCAAACAAACTCGTTTGTAGTTACATATACTTACTCAAAAATTTAATATTGATTCCATACTTTTCCATTGATTCCATTTACGATAGGTATTTAATTAACTATATGTGGATCTCCAAGCTGTTCCTATTTGTAAACAACCTGGTTCCATTTTGTGGACACTCACGGACCCAGTTTCTGGACGACACCAACTTTTTGACGATCATGAATATGGATTGGCCTTTTCAGAAGATATAATCATGAAATGTGTGCAGCAGTTTTATTCATCGTCACCGGGGCGAAAATACAAGGAAAATCATTCGTCGCCGATTTTTTGCCAATCAGTAAAATCATCAGTTAGTTCGCCCATTTTGGCAAAGCCAAACTAAATACAGTTCAAAGTCGTTGCGCGTTATCTGATGAAGTCCACAAGATGTTAATTTGATCGCTCAAAAAACTGTTTTCGTTAATCTACACGAAAAAGTTCTATTTGCCGCCAAAATCCTTTCCTTTCGGATGATTTCGATCTTCCTCATTGAAACATCAGGCCTTAGCTTAGTGAATATATCAATACATAATTCTTTGTGAATGGCAAATGGGATTTTCAAGAGCACGAATTTCGAAAATTGTCACTGCATGTGACGCATGTTATGGAAATAGTGTGGCATACGTTATAAGAGGTTGTGGACTTCTTGTGTGCCTTGCGGAAATGCATATAAATGGCGGTGAAAGTCTAAGGTTCGTGTCTCCCAACGAAAAACACGTTCTTCGTGCCCATATCATTACATTATCCTCACTTTTAAACAATCATCGCCACTTCTTGGAATTTCATCGCGCTGGAAATGCGCAATGTCCAGAGGGGAAAAAACGATTTAAAAAATGAAGTACCCCAAGCCCAATCAAATAACTCTATTCCCAGTGCATATTACGTAAGGCTGAAATTCAAATAAAGTCGGATATTTGTAACACGACACTTCTGGAAAAATGTGGAGCGTTCGGATGAGATCGTATCACTTCAATTTCGCAGTCGAATTGCTTCGAGGAATGAAATGTTTGACCTAAAATATGAATTCCAAAGTGCATATTCACGCCCTCAAAAATACAAGGTCATGCCCACGTGTTATTACTGATATAATGACTGTGCCTCTTCATGGCCGTCAAGAAGACCAAGTGTCATGGGATGATGGAGACGGAGCTCGACCGCGTAGGGAATTATAACCAGCTCAAAGGGAAAACCTGTTTTAAAGAAAAAAACACATGAGAGCATTCTTTCGGGCATGAATGTTAAGCCTAGAAGAGTAAAAATGATGTAATTGCTTGCGTGGAACGCCTTATGGGCAGATGGGGATATCGCAAAAGTCCCGTCCATTCCCATCGCTCTTGAAACACCAAGGACCATTTTCGTCGTCGATAGGGTTCCGACAGAAATTGTGTCTTGAGTGCATGTCGTCCAATATGGTGTAAGATTCCATCAAGTCTGCCTTAATAATATGAAGTGAAAAGTCGTAATCTTGCTGATAAGCTCTGCTCCCTTCGAAAGTATCTTGTTCCCGCGCTGAATCGCTCATCCACGGGAGGCATTTGTGTCCCTTGCGGGTCACATTCTTCGTTCCAATGTATGTCTTCCCCTTCACGTCCGTCTTGCATTCTAGTGGGCCTGGAAAGCAACGTGCAAGAGTTCGTAGAGTGAGGTAGGGTAAAGGCGTTAGTTCGTGGACGGGTTGAAGAGTAGTCTATCATGGAAATCAAACTACGGTCGTTGGAGTCATTGGAGAACTGGGTGTTTGGTTTCAAGATGACGTCACCTTTTACAGTTTTATATAGTCGGTACTCTAAATTGAGTATTGTTTCCATGAAGAAGTACTTTAATGACTATATGTGAATTTTCCACTGTTTCTATTTTTGGTTCCATTTCGTGCACATTCACGGAATTACATTCTTAGAAAATTCCGAGCGTTTTGGGAGTAAAAAGTGAGCAGACCTTGAGCTTTTCGAATTTACTCTCTTATAACTCGCGAAATGCTCCCTCATCGCTCGCATTGAAGTGAACACCTTGAAGTTCTTCGCCAGGCCCCTAGATGGCGGTAAGGGTCTCACTTTTCGCACAGTACACAAAAGTTCCCTTCTCTCTTTCCCTGGAATTGTCCCTTGCAGGATTGTTTAGTACCTTGCCATATGTCTCGCCTAGTCTCATTATAGGAATCAATAAACACGGACACTTCATCATTTGTTATCCACATATTCAAGACATATTCATGGAGTGCAGGCCATAAACAAGCCCATATTCCTATTGATAACCCTTTTGGAACGCGTTTGGNGCACACCAAGACAAACCCCTTGAAGTTTGTCATAAAGAATGTCTCTCTTGACACCGAAATAACAGATGTCAAAGAACTACTTGAAGAATCTGGCATAACCCTGATGGAGGACATCATCAGGATGAGAGAAACTCGTACGGGTCAACCTCTCAACCTAAGGCGGTTGAGGATAACAACTCCCGTGACTTGTTGGAATGAGGAGCACTCAAAATTGGCCCTCTCTCTTTCAAGATTGAAGCCTTTTCTGAAAGGCCTAGAAACATTCAATGCTTCAAATGTATGCAATTTGGTCATCTTGCCTCTGCATGCAGAAAAGCCACAAATTGATCATTTTGTGGAATGACTGGACATTCCTACAGGGATTGCCAGCAGATGAAAGCCGGACTCACACCAACCTGTGCCCTTTGCAAAGGCCCTCACAAGGCCAACTCCTCTGCTTTCCCTACACAGAAGGGCAGCATTGGAACGCATACTTGTGCAGGAGCAATTCCGCAATACAAAATTAGCAAAGGAACTCCTTCCATCTCGATCGTCAGCACAGACACCTCAGTATTCAATGCGTACAACCCCCAACCCATGTGGGTTGGGGGTTGTGGGGAGGGGGGGGGGAGAGTGAATGCTCAATGCTGACACTGTCCCGGCGGCTACAGTGTAGAGCGTTGAGAGGGCCGCTGACTGAACTCGTGAATTCCCGACAATATTACGCACTTAGCGTAGGCCAGTGGTGTCAAAATTGAAGAAGCTGGTTGCCGGATGGAATCCTACAGGTTGGTTTGTTGCGTGTGAGATTTGCATGGGCAAATCTCATACCAAAGCTTCAATTGCTAACAGGTTTAATATATCCGCTTTTCCAAATCCAACTGTGGAAGAGATCTTCGTGAGTCGGACAAAATCAACTAGCACTTGAGACACTTGGCCTGGGCCGATACTAAGTTTATAGAAGTCTTCCACGTGTCAGCTGGTATATATTTAAACGGCAAAAGAATTGCGTACTGCGACTGGTAGTGCGTCGTTCTATGAACTTTTTTCACTCTCCTGTAGGTATCGCAGTTTTATTTTTATCGTTCAATATGTGGAATGGGAAATATACGCTGGATTACACGTGACCAGAAGAAGCGGGGAATATCGTTACTCACTGACACACTGCCCTCCGACTTGAACATCGCATTTTTCACTGTCATCAGTTGGACAGAATGGAACGTCGCAATATGAATACTTGACTCCGGTGTAGCAATAAGGGCCGTAATCCCTTCCATCAGGGTTGCGGCAATACGCATGCCTTCCATCTACTTCATCTGGAATCTTGAGGATCATCTTATCGAACAAGAAGAAAAAGGCGATCTGGAGCCAAGGTAGACAGGGTACCCCGGACATCGTCACGCTTCTCTTTCCCACATACTCCGCTCCTCGCTCTGTGATTTTGCATTCAGGTGGATCTAGGAAACGAATATCATAAGTCGAAAAGGTTCGATCTAAATCAGAGACTACTCCTGATTATTGGCAACTCTGAAAGTATCTAGAAAGTGAGACTGTGACAGCATTTTTTTTATTGCCTAGTTTCCATTTAGATGTCTCAGTTAATCTTGGGCTGTTTACTTCATGACTTGACCTGTGCGTCACCAATTTTGTAGCGACGACAATATTCATGTCTTATCATCAGATTAGGGATAGAGTCATCAAGATCTAAATAAAGCTGTTGCGGGAACTTGCTCCACCGTTTCCAACCATTAAGGTTTCAGAAGGATTCGGCAACCGGAAGCATTCGTCATTCCTCTTGCATCTCTCACTTTGATATTCTTGTATTCATGAGGAAATAAATTCTTGAATTTCGCGTCTCTCCCCTCTACATCAAGGTTATCTGTGCTAATCTATTATTCTTTAGACTATGTTTATATCCGTACCAATAATACTGGAATAATTATGTCCTGGTACTAGGGTGGGGGTTTTAATAAAAGTCTTTGCATGTTTTCTCCAACACACATATTCCCACACAAATGCTGATTATATGCATTTTATCAAAAAATTTCCCCCCAATTTACTGGTATGGGAACGTTATTCCTCCAATATGGTTTTCTCCATTTTCTCTTATGAAACCCAAATCACACACATAATCTCAGAAACGTTAGTGTGCTGTTCTTGTAAAGAGGGACCAGAATGAACTAACTGAGGTCTTGGCAGAAGGGGATGTCGCAGTACTCCCACTGTGTGTCATTGTCGGAGACGAAGCACNAACTAACTGAGGTCTTGGCAGAAGGGGATGTCGCAGTACTCCCACTGTGTGTCATTGTCGGAGACGAAGCACCATGGTCGCTCCCTGTCTACACCTGGATTTCGGCAGTGGTTGTGGCGGATGTTGAATTCCGGTCGCCTGAAGGGATCCATGAAATGTAGATGGTACAGAAACCCTCTGGGGTAAAAATCCCAAGGGGTTTCGTATGGTTGAGGAAGCCATGGTAGACATGGCCTGCCAGTTTCTGTCTCGTTCCGGCTCCCCACGTATTCCCTTCCCTTTTCTGACAGTCGGCAATCTGGATATACTCCCGTCCCGGTTTCAGATATTTCATTTCCCAGGTCGCAGAATGAGATGTCGCAAAAAGCCCATTTGATCAGATTCACATATTTTTTCCTGAAATCCAGGTAGCACCAAGGAGCTGCGTTTGGATTAAGGTTATAAATGAAGCTTCCATTTTCCACATTTGGGTTTCTGCAGAAGTTGTGATCTTCGTCAACGCGATCGGGATCAGGGAAAGCCAGGAGGAGATTTTCAATATCTTCTTGGTATCTCCAAGGCAGGCAGGGCCATCCTTGGATTGTCACGTTCTTCGTGCCCATGTATTCCCCTCCCCATCGAGTCACTTTGCATTCCGGTGCGACTGGTGGCAAGAAAGAAGTCCCGTTTCATTTGGCATCTGTCCCAAAGAAACTTATTGACTTGGCATTAAATATCCGAAAGGAATTTGTGATTGACACGGTCACTCGTTAACATCGGCTGTATGTAGCGTCCCTTCGGCCTATGTAGGAACAGGTGCGACGAAAACTAGAAACTGCCCTCAGTATCCATCATTCACCTACTTCATTTTAATAACCTTATTTGACAGCGGTTTTAGCAGGAATCGCAGCACCATCCATTATTTCCGAACCGCCATCGCCGCAAATTCCATTCGACAAATGGAGGAAACAGTCGCATGATTGCATGTCTCCTTGGTCGGAGGATATCTGTTATTATCTCAAAACATTGTGATTAATAGTTTTAAAAAAAATTCGAACGATGTGCTCCTCCCTCTTCAGTTGCTCATTGGGAAGCACATGCTAAATGGTTCGATACAGGGTGGGTTAAAAATTAAACCTTGATTATCTTCATTACTCCAAAGCACTGCTCCCCAATAATTTTCTAAAGTTGCAATACTGCCTCATTGAAGAAAATACGTTCCCCATTCCAAAGATGTGAGCAGAATGAAGAATCGTGGTATCATTTCCATGTAATGAAAGAAAGAGTATGCAAGATGGCGCTGGAAATGCGAACGACGCCTCGGCCAAATAGCGAATGTGCGAAGGAATTGGCCTCACCTAGAACATTAAATGCACAGTACCAGTGAGTGTACGTTCAGGTGCTACCTTTGTTTCTCTATGCGTCACTGCCTGGAAAAGTCGGAATAGATCTTAAATCCTTTGGATGCAGTCGCACGTTAGATAAAAGTTCTATACAGGCACGCTCTTGGAATATTTACAAGTTCTCGAGAAAATAGGCTATGAAGCGTTAATAATAATCGAATATTTTGTTGGCCTATCATGTATTTGTTCTATCCCCTCCTGCCCATGAAACTGCGTAAAAGAAACTTCACCTGCGTCAGTGCAAAAAGGGATGTTGCAGTATTCCCACTGGATATCAGGATCGGAAACGAAGCACCAGGGTCTCTCCCTCCCGGACGGATTCCGGCAGTAGTTGCGGTGAGACCCGGAGTCTCGATTAAGGAAGTGGCCTTCATATAATTCGTCATATGCCGGCATTCCGGGAGGATCAGAAATCCATTTAGTGTCAAGAGAATGTCTTTCAATGAAGTTAGGGTCGTCACGTATCATTAATGGGATGTCCGAGAAGTCATCCGGTCTTCCGAACGGATAGTCTCTCCAGAAAAGACACTTCCTACCCGATTCTGTCACGTTCATTCCTCCTACATATTCCTTGCCTTTTGCTGTCAAACGACATTCTGGATACAAATGCACTTCCTCACCTACTAGTAACAAAATCCAGCAATTGAGTGACGATGAGAGACAAGGAGTTGAGGATATACTGTAAGTGCGAGTTAAAGGCGAAAACTTGACGTGTTATATTATCATCAATCTCATCCGCCAACATATCAAATGGAAATATTGTGGATCTAAGTTGGGCGATTAGCTTCAGCAAAATTTTAATTGTTGTTCCTTATCTTCAATTTTATTCCCACCGATTTGTCTCATTTTTGTAACGTAATGGTACATTGAACAATTTTGAATTTCAAATCAAAGCCACCATTGGTTCTTAATTGAAAACTTTTTTTTTTCATTTTTTTGTGGAAAGAAGTTAGCAAGAGCTGAAACGAGAGCTGATTCTTAGAACAACCAGGATCCCAATGCATTGCCAAGGCAGGACATCATTGTTCGGACCATGGGCATTCTTTTGATCTTTCGGACTAGGAAAGATTAATCAATTGCCCTAGTTGCACATAACATTGAAGCGACATTTATTCAATGTTGAATCAACGCTGAATTGATATTGTCTCAATGTTATGTGTTACTAAGGGGCTGCGGAGAATAGTCAACGGTAGCACGAAACATACTTTGGCAAAGAAACCCTTTTCTAATAGTTCTAGAACTACTTCGTTTTTCTTATTGGTCTTATTAGCTTATGCTTTCATATTGTTCTGGCAATACTTGTTCCTATTCACTCGCCTCCAAAAGTAAAGAATGTAAGAAAAACCTTGTTCTAAAGAAAAGAAAGTGTAATAGTTTTTCATTCGACTGCTAGGAGTATATCATGAAAGAGTTGAGATGAGATTTTTATAAAAATAAATAGTTCTCATGAATAAATAGTTTGCCATGCCCTCACATTGCACCGCACTCTTCCGGAAGGAGAATTGCCAAGAATCTGGCATGAATTGAGCGCATTGAGCAGTGTGGAGATGAGCTCCATCCGAGAACCCTTTCGGATGTTCACAACGGAAAATAACGTTCACTCCTGCTGGTGCTGGATATTCTCCGCTCCATCTCTCGAAGGACACCTTCGCGTTCTCGATCATGGGATACTCTCTCAGACATAAATCTATCAATTTCGACGAGAGTCATGTTCGTGCCTTAAACCGGTCGAGATGAAAGTGGGAAGCATTCGACTCACTCTGGACGTAGGACAGGTATCCATTGGCTTCAATAAGCTTGCTCTTCCCGTGGAGAATCAACTGGCACGAACCATCTGTCTCCCGATAGTTGAAGGCGGAACAGGCACTCGGTTCCTGCAACACACAATTTACTGTGCAAGATCCGAGGCTGAGCTCCTGAGATTCTGACGTCACATTCTCGTATCTTTGCCCATGATGCACGCGGAAGTAGGGGATCAAATCGACGGAGGCGACGTCCCGTGACAAGTATATGAACACAAGGATGATCGTGAGTTTCTCTGCCGAGGATCTACGAGATTCCATCCTTGCGGCTGGGTCCTCGGGAAGGCCAGGGATGACTGGGATAAGAGGCGTGTGGGTACGGTATTGAACCATTGCTTGACTGCATCGACGTCAACAGCAACCTTCAGACCGAGAAACATGGTTATTTTTTTCTTTACTTAGACTGTATTTAAGGAAATCCGAGAGAAGTTGATGGATGGCTTTCCCTCTTAATCAATATTGCTTGAATGCAACGCAGTTCCTGGAAGCGGCTCTGACTTAACTTCGTACTACCCCTGGATGCAGAACAGCAACATTCTGCGTCTCATTTTAACCTTTCCCTCTAAGCCCTAATTTCTCTAATTCCAAATTCTGTAGAAGAGTGAAGAGATGGTTTGGCATTATGTATTCTCCTGGAATGCACGATTTGAAAGATCAGATTGGAAAGAGGAAGAAAGCGTACGAGTAGGTGGTTAACTTTCACCATATCAATTTCATTAGCCTTCCTGTGCGCTCAGTTCCACAAATACAATTTAAAATTTGATATTGGATCTAAATGTCTAACTCCTGGATGACTCTTAGCCCATTATGGCCGGCCCAGATGCGACCATGTTGCTTCCCCCGCTCCCTGAAACTACCTGTTTTCATGAGTCAAGTTATGGTAGGAATGGAATTTATGGTCATTGAGAGAAAGTAGGTGTGCATAGCCCCACGAAACGGGACATGCCATTTCATGCCTTGGGTCGAACGTTTATGCACTGTCTATGTTTATGTTAAAGCAAACACACGACGAATCAAAGTATTTATTTTTCTGGAACATGAATGTAGTTTCAAAACACGAACACAACTAAATGGGGATTAACATCTTAACAGAATTAAATCCAATGGTATTGGAAAAAGCGAAAGAAAACAAAAGATTATGAGTAAAAAAAAAGTTTTCGATCAAATTGCAGAAAGGGATATGGGCCTGAGCTAGCTGAATCATCCGAATTATCAACATCAGAATCAGATATTTCTTGAGATCTTTGCATGGTTCTGTTTCTGATGCTGTTCGTTGAAGAACAACCGAATAAACATCCATCTGGATGTTTATTCGGTTGTTCTTCAATGAAGACATTCAAAGAGTCATGAAGTCCCCAGACCTTTTGCAATGGACAGCACAGGCAATGTTGATGGTGCTTGCCCAAGCTGGAGTCGTACAGGCCTCTGAATGTTGGCAATGGAGCCTCATTTTCCACTGCCCCAAATGTTACATTCACCATGGACGTCCTATGTGCTCCATTATGTTACACTCGTTGGCGAAAGCGAAAGCACCTTTCTTCAAGAGAGAAAGGAGAGGTTTCTCTCTTTGGAACTTTGGAACTGACCATACAAGGCTATAGGTCCATTTATACAAGGCATCAACGCCAAAGGTCCAGGTATACAACTCTACATGGCTATCGGTCCTGGTACTCCACAAGGTCAGTATGGCCCAGTGCAGTACCTTAATATCGTGGACACAACCGGCCAGCGGGCAGACATAGCTCGTACATGTGATCTCATATGCACTGTTGCAAAGGCATATGACGTTTATTAAATGGAACCCCATCTGATTGAATACATTAAGCTCATTTACTGAATACCGACGATCACATCAATCACACCTGGGAATTGACCAAAGGCATCCCTTTCTTGTGCCATCTGACCATCATCTGGTTGCGTCACAAAATGTGAAACCTTGCTCTCATAGCAAGTGCCACCTTCCAAAATATCCTACATTTGCAGATACATGGAGACTTCCACTCTGTCACTCTGTCACAGATTGAAAAGATCCTGTTACAATGTACTGTGAACCAACAAAGATTTGAATTACATGGAATTTGTGGTGATTTCTGGGAGCAACTGCTTTTATGTCCTCGTGAAGGCCAATGAGGAAAATAATGCAGATCAGGTCAAATCGGTATCGGTTGTAAAAGTCGGAGCCGTGAAATTCGTTTTTCATCATATATGATTTGCTCTTAACAGCCACTAAAGGACTTCGTTAATCAACGAGTAGTCACAAAATGCAGCGAATACTATTTCGGGAAGCCGGCATTTCATAGTTGCGATTCTTCGTCGGATTTTTCTTGCTATACAAGCGTGAGAGCTTCTGTTCCTTACAGGTGGGATCCCGCCGTTTTCACCCTCTGGAGTCACACTCCTCGTGAGAGTGGCGATCAATAAGAGGACGGGGTTCCGATTGATACGTGGGTTTAGGATCTCGATAAAAATTTATTAGCGGAGATCTCAACCCGGTGAGGAGGATATCCTTCCTCTAAGGATGAAAGGAAACTCTGAGTGTAATGCACGAGAACGTTTTAAACGTCCCTCCGGAATGGTCTGCATCGGATCCCAAAATCAGGGAGCGGGGGATGTGTAGCATGTCCCTCTCACCCGTTGTAATGTTGGGATGGTATGGAGAAGGACCATCAAACGCCTTGAGTTCGGTACTTTATTGTTAGCACACTTGGCTGATGAGTATTGATAGGAGATACCCGAGTTCGATTTCCGCCCTCGCAATTGTTTTCTTTCGGCTTATTAGGTCATACGAACTCATCTTCCCCCCAACCCCGGGCAATTACGTTCTCGGTGAAAAAAGTGCGACCCAAGGAGAGAGAGACACCCGGTGGCTAGCACAAAGTGCACATGCACAGATGGACTTCCTTCCCCTCAAATTAGTGCACCTAGGGCATGCAACTCCAAAATCCGATTCATCTTAACTCAGCATCCCAATAGCAATTTGTGTATCAAATTTCAGATTTCTAAATTCTCTAGAACATTGTTAGAATAAGCATCAGCACTCAGTCAGTCATAGATCGATTGTATCGGCGTCAACGCCGACCTCGGTGGTCGGCAAACATTGATTTTCATTTCATATTCAACGATTGCCGTTCCGATGAATTTTTCAAGGAAGTTGATTAATGGGTTTTCCGTATCTAATTTATGGTCCTATGAAGTGATGCGAGGGGGCAAATACACTCTCTTACCGTGCACGCATTTCTTACGAACCTGGTCCTCCATATCTTTCCTTGTTTTCTTCTTTCTGTGATTTCAAGATCGAACCCACTCACAGTGCACAATGCAGCGTTGGATGAGTTCCTAAATTATTTCCTTAATTGTGTTCACACGATCTTGGCAATAAGATACAATGTGAAACCGTATAGGAGGTAACTTTTTTGGTTAATCCTGCAAATCCAAATGATAACTGAAACTCAAGGTTTCACACTTTATTGCTTGCAGCATAAAAACGTGACGAGAATAATAGTTGAGATAGAATTCCCGTTGGCCATGTTAAGACTAATACAGCCACCTGGGCGTAAACTTTTTTCCCATCAAATTTTTCTTGAAAAAATTAATTAGAAATTCATGTTTTTCCTTTTTTCTATACAAATTCATTTAAGCTGGGGGTTCGACTTAGGGGAGATCTACCATGAGTGAACGTCATGTAGGCCAGGTCCTCATTTCCATTCCTCTCACTGTTGTCTCTCTGAATACACGACGGATTCCATAGCTTCCCTCTCCGTCCTTGAAGGCTACGAGGGGGTATCATTTTTTTGTGAAATTCACGGTTTAACTTATTGATTCACTCTCTTCCCTCTCTTCTCCGAGCACAGATGCATCTTTCCCGTGCTCACCGGCAATGTACACATTGCGATACCGGCCGGGCCTTTCAATAATTTATTGTACTTCCCTCGTCTTTTTTTGCAGCAATGAAAAATGCCTTTTGCATGAACCCTGCCAAGATCCCAGAATCAGGAGAGACCTTATTTAATGTTTCCATCGCCCATGAAAAGGAAATTCATCGACGGTTGGATAAAGTGATAGGACCGGAAACCCTAAGGAAGACACAAGTTTTTTGAGTGGATTAGAAAATTTAACGGACAGGTGACCGTTAAAGACGCGAATCGCAGTGGGCGGCCGTCGGCTGCATTGACCGAGGAGAACACGGCCTGCGTGCATGATCTGGTGCAAGCTGACAGACGCATCACAGTGCGTGAATTTATAGCTCATCTTGAGATAGGCCGCAACGCTGTTGTCAAAATGCTTAGACATTTAGGCTTTCGCAAAATCACAGCCTATGCGTGCATGATCTGGTGCAAGCTGACAGACGCATCACAGTGCGTGAATTTATAGCTCATCTTGAGATAGGCCGCAACGCTGTTGTCAAAATGCTTAGACATTTAGGCTTTCGCAAAATCACAGCCTTATGGATTCCAAGATGCATGACGCTGGAGCAGAAACAGAGACGTGTCAATGTGTGCCAGATTTTGTTGCACAAACATGCCGAGAACGGCATTTCTTTTCTGAACTCAATCTTCACTGGAGACGAAACGTGGCTGGCAAATTTTTCCTTCCTTAGAAGGCCGCATTTGCGGCCATAGGCCGCTAGTAAAAATAGAATTCTACGAAAGTAGAGCCATGGGGCTCCGGCGGCGATCTTTCGATCCTGCAGTCCCACACTGGCTATGCCCATGTCAGGGCTATTGAACTTACTGCAAAATTCCGTTTAAACCTCTATTGTGCTTTGGGGTGTTTCTTTCCCCCTTCCGGTCACGCTTTCCCACGTCTTCCGTCCTGGTGTGCTGCGTCTTGGTGATCGTCCTACGTGTGCCGGCAAGGGCAGTCTCAAGCTGTCTGTCTCACCTGTTTGTCTCTCTCTGCAGCCTTCGCACGCCGTATTTTGGGACAGTCGGACGGTGCTCAAGTACTGTCTATCATGTGTCTCGAACTTCTGCGGTCGCAGCCTGACGTCGGTCGGTCAACGGTGATCCTACTTCTAATCACCTCATTTTGACCATTCGGGATATTTATTTTCTTTCAAAACATAACTTTAATTCAATATTTCTTGTCCTTGTTGTTGAACACCGCATTTCCTTGATCAACAGTTATATTATTAGACGGCTTGTCATGTCTGTGGGGGTGGTGCTGGACCCTTTGCCTTCCCTGCTTTCGGCTTAACGTTAACAATAAATAGATCACATTTAAGACCCTCCATACGACACCTACGAGCTTTGAGACTTTTCGGTTCAACGTGTTCACTTGGTTTACAATTGGCATTGCGGCAGTTGCCTGTTTCACGGAACGAGTTCGTTGCTAATGGCC